TTTGTTGAGCAACTCCATCAGCTGTGTTGATGCTCGAATCCGAACAATCCAAAATTGTTAATCCAAAAATTTCTAATAAGTGCATTCCGCTTCCTCCAATAACACTATGACTTGCACCACTATCAACTAGACAAGTTATTTGCTTTCCAAGAATTTTAACATCAATAAAAGGCCTATAATCATTTTCCTTATGAACAAAAATCGTATTAGCTTCTTTACAGTTAGAAGAATGCTGTATGGTTACTTTGGTTTTATACATCTGGCGCACCTTGTCTAACCAGAGTTTCCATTCTGTAGAAAATGGTGACTTCGTTTTAAAATTATTTGAAAGATTGCGAGTTTCAAGTCCAGCAAGATTCATTTCGGAATTTCTCATTTGGTTATGAAAGGTCTTTGAAACTACATAGGGGGCACACCGACCTACCTTGTGTTTCCCCTGTGCTCGTTTTTTGAGCAGGACGGACAGTTTGGGCGAATCACTCCTGGCTTACCGCAACCAAAACAGAAAGGTTCTTTTCGTTGTCCATTAATATCATTTCTTTGGTTAGAAGTACTCGATCGATTATTATTATTATTATTTATAGGTTGAAAGGACTGATTATTATTCTGAAGAGTAGCCACTTGTCTACTATTGTGTGAAAAATTTCTAGAAAAGTTATCTGAATATTGTTGTCTATTATTTCTCGAATTATTCCTATTAGAATTTGAACTTCTATACCTATCATTCCTATACACGCTGTTATAGACATTACTCGTGCTAGCTCTCGGTTCACGGTGATTGTTATCGAAATGATTATGACAATTTGGGCAAGAATTATCAGAGGTTGAATCAGCAGCCGAAGAATATGCTAATCCTGGTTCAAGAGTCGAAATATTCCTTCTCGGAGGAGGTTGGTATTTTAGTTGGACTAGATTTGCGTCCTCTAAAGCTCTACATACTTCTAGAAGTTTATTAACATCATTTATCTGCTGTAAGGCAATATGTGATTGAAAACTAGGCAAAATATTTTTCTTAATAATTTTCAGTTTATCATGTTCTGGCGGTTCATTAATTAAGCAGCTGAATAAATTTTCCATTAAAGATAAATAAACAACAATACGCTCATCTTGACCTTGAGTTCGGTGACGTATTTCTTCCCAAAGCTGATCATCATAATCAGAAGGTAAGAAATCTCTTTTCAGCGCGTCTACTAATGAATCCCAGGAATTAAAACGATTTTGTCTAGACTGAGATCTGAACCATTCCCTGGCAACACCCTCAAACAAATCAGAAGCAGACTGGAACAAGTCCTCTTTCGTACAACTTCTCGCAACTCTCAACTCATCCACACGCTGTAAGAATGACCTAAGTGATCCTTTTCTTAGTGTACCATCAAATGTTATTCCCCACTTATATGCAGGTACTGCTTTTGGAAGGTTATTAACTTGTGGACCTAAGTGCAAGTTAGGGACGTTAGCAGCTTGTCCTTTGAGAAATTGTTCACGTATTTCGACTAAGTCTTCTTCAAGTGTACTAATCAAAATAATATTATCTCCTCGATAATTTGAAATTTCTAAGTTCTCTGTATCATTTGGAATTCTATAAAGACGGCCAAAAATGTGATTAATACGACTTCTCACTCTCTTAAAGACTTCCTCATTCATACCATCAAAGTTATTCACTACATCCGTGATAGATTCAATACTTTCATCGATTGCTTCCCGTTCATTCTCAAAATTAAAGTTAGGAGTGGTATACTCAACATCAGATCTAGAAAGATCACGTCTAATTTCCCTTCTCAAAAATTTTCTTTTCTGATCGGTATCAGCTCTATCAACTGCAACACCCCGTATAAAAAGCTCATAGTTTAGTTCTCTAGTCCTAAGATGAACAGGATCTATGTTGTAGTTAACCCTCATGGTTCAAATATTCAAAGTATGAAATGACCAAAAAATTCTGAAGTTAATCACTCGGGACAACACCCTGTACAAGTACTAAAGCGTAGAGTTTCTTGTTAACAAGGAAACTCAGTAAGACTTGTGGAAAATTGAAAACCAGGTAGATTTGTTTGCAGAATAATGCCACTGGATCACAACATGCTAATTTGCGCAATGCCCTGTATAATCAGTGACTCAATGCTAAGTGTACCTAATCAGGAAGTACTGGGATAATTATTTCATGAAATCAGAAATATGAAATTTGTAAAGAAAATCAATTAATGAGGTTAACTTACCCAATTAACTTTGATCACCCTGTATAATGCGAATTCTTGAGACCTATTCAACAACCAGAAAATATGTCAAGAAACAAAAAATTTCAGTGCTCAGTTGAATAAATTACTTACCAAAGTATGTACATTGAACACTCTGGCTCACTGCCTTCACCCTGTATATGATATTCTCCAAATAAGAAGATATCAGGAAATTTGAAAAATTTACAAAAAACTGTAATATTTTTGTTTTGTCCAGGAAGAATAAGGAAGGGTTATGGGGAAATTTACCTTGCTCCGGCTATGAAATTTTAATGAGAACTTTTTTATATAAGAAACTAAAAGAAACTATCAAGGCCTTCCACGTTGTGCGCCAATTTTATGGGACGTAATTTCAACAAGAGATGAAATTATGGCCTCACTACACGGTTGCTCTTCAGTGGTAGAGATGGTCGTGGATTTAATTTCATAAAAATAGGTAAATGTGGGCGCCACCCAGTATTATCTGGGAAGGAATAGGGTGAGACAAAACAAAAATATCAACAGTACTGGAGTTTTTCTAAATCCATGCTATAATGACCGAATTACCTCAAAGTTACAATAATATATCATAGGTAATATTCAAATTTAAATTGGACCCAACACCCAACACCTGGAGTATTTAAGAATTAACTTTAGCTTAAGAATTACTGAAATAATCTGTTAGTATTTAATCTTATGAATAGTTGCAACAGTTTTGTTATCTTTTATGATCCAATAGTATACAAAACTGTATTAGTCAGAATTCGTTAGTACAAATATATACTAAGATAAGCAGTACTTAAATCTTAAACTTAGCCTCACTGTGGCTTCAAAAGGAAACATTAAGAACTGTATAAATGGTCCACAGGTGTGATATAAATTCTGGAAATATAACCAAGTCCTATGAAACGGACTATCAGCGCTGATACTCCCTTTCTCACAAAGGAGAGGGTATATAAAGGCAGACAATAATAAGTAATAGTATTAAATCCCAATCAACTGGTGCAGTCCATCTTCTCATCAGGTTGGCAAAATTAAGTGAAAAATCTACTTACAGTAGGTCATCCCTATAAGTGTAACATAGCTTTTACCAAACGAATCTCATCATCCATCACGAATATACCAAATTCGGAGGAACTGTTCTCAGTGGCATATCAGCATGGGTCCAGAAAAATAACTTTTAGAAACAGGAACAACGGATAAACATAGTATTGCACCAGTAGCAATTGTGGTTGAAATAACAGGGTTTTAAACCTTGTTCGCCATCATTATGGCGTCGTGTATAACGACACGACTATTATTATACCAAAATGGCGGTATACCCATACCATGAAGGCCTGAAAAGAAGTCATCATGATGCATGTGTTTTTCGATGTATTTTGTTATTGTTCAATATATAATTTTCAGTGTACTTTATTGCAGAAGTGTTATTATACTTGCCTAAAGGTGTTAATCGGCCTTCATCACCAAAATTCTCATAATTTTCTGTTTAAGTTCAACAGCACGAAATTTTCGTGGCATTTCAGAAAAATGGCCCCTAGAGAGAGAGAGAGAATCGTCGTTCTTCCCGGAGGTACTCTGACGTTTCCAAAAACCCTATTTACATCAGGCTGCTCGCTCACAGGACACTTCGGAAACCGTGACAGGTGCCGAGTGTGGTGTGAGTAGTGCTTTGCCTTGAAAACCTTTCTTGCTAAGTCCCTTACTGGCAATATATATTATTAGGTTTTACGCTTCTTACGACTAGGTCACAGATGTGCCAAACGAATATAAAACGGGAAGAATAAGACGTGATAGTCTAAACAGCTGTTCGCTAATATTTACTTGCAAAATAAACATAACCCCTTGAAGAAATAATACTTATATGAAATCGAAAACACATCAGATGAAATCCTTTACAGGTAACAGGGTAGGTAGCCTGATTTAATTACAATGAGAAAACAGTTTGACGAGGGTTCAATGTAAGTACGATTCATTTTGATTATTACTGGGTGTTGAAACTGACATGGTTAGTATCCCAAAGTAGTTTCTAAGTAGGATTTTCAGCGATCAAGTCTCTGAAAACAATGCATCCCGCAGCATAACATGAGGGTATTACCTATGATGGACAGGAGTTATGAACGATCCACTAGTGGACCGTTACAGTGTATATTCAATTTTTTCCACAACTAGCAATACATTTATTATAATAAAAAGGAACGTATTGTCACTATGAAAATACTTATTTTTAATTCTAATTAAAATCTAGCCATGACCATGATGACAAGTCGTTATTGATAAATACCTAATAGATTTGAGTGTCATTCCTGCGAATGTCGCATAGAAACAGTGGATTCAAAGGATAACCCACCTGCTATGGCAAAATTTCTATTACAAAAGTCTTACCGTTTTCAAGATATTGAATTTTTGCCCCTTTCAATAGTTTTGTCTGTACGGTTGGTACAATTTTACACCTTCTTGGTTAATTTTTTTCAGTAAATATTGCTGAAGAATGATTTTAACGTATACATTAAAAACATTCTCCAAATATTTTAAAGAGGGGCTGTGAGAAATATTTTTATTGAAAACTTTGGTAGTGGATATTTTCAAACAAAAAAAATCTCGAAAACGGTAAGACTTTTATTATAGGAATTTTGTCATATGCAGGTGGGTTATCCTTTGATCTACATTCTCCCTAGGTCGACGTGGTCTTTACGGGACACCCTGTATATAAAAAAACTTATAATATATTCCTAATGAAAATTCGTGAAAAGTTTATACACATTGCAGAACCATGTAAAACATGAAAAACTTATATTATTCTCATCAACAGGACGACCGAATATTTCAAATAATGTTTTATTGTTACAGGCCGAGCTCATACATATGCGTGCAGAATTGACAGAATCTAAATCGAAGAGAGAAGTCCTCGAAAGTGAACTCCATCATCTCTTGCTACAACTACATTCCTCGCAGCTCTCTAAACTACCCGATAGTCTAGGTAACAAACGACAAGAAAATCTCATCAAACCAGACATCAGCGCTATCAAACAGAGATTTGATAATGAGATCAAACAGAGCCCTATGCGTAGAGGTAAGAATAATACTTGGCTGATTTAAAACATAATTGTATTTCAAAGGAAGGAAGGAATGCTCGAAGTCATCTCCACAAATTTTAATGGTGTTGTTATATCGAAGACTGGAACCTTTGGCACGATAATACACTACACTGTTTTACCACTAACCAAACCGATTTTTTAACGCCTCGACACGTGTTTCGCTAACTATGTTAGCATCTTCAGGAGAAGATTAAAACTAAATATCCTATTCTAGTGTGCTGCATAGCCCATTTAAAATATGGCAGGTTAGATAAATCTTGTGTAGCCGAACATATGTTCAATCACAATCACAACACACATATCACTAACCTCAAATTAGTTAAGCAAGTTAATAACATTAGAAAACTAGACGCATATGAAAGCTTAGAGATATTTAAGAATAGTAATAGAGTAATGAATAAGGATAATGGACCTATTCCATATAGCCCTCTATATAGTTTAGTAAAATAAAAATTAAGATTAACATGTGAACTCAACCATGACAAACATTGACTTGACGGTTAGTATTTTTCACAGTTGGGTGAACATATACCTAGTATATAAGCAGCACACTAGAATAGGATATTTAGTTTTATTCTTCTCCTGAAGATGCTAACATAGTTAGCGAAACACGTGTCGAGGCGTTAAAAAATCGGTTTGGTTAGTGGTAAAACAGTGTAGTGTATGGTGTTGTTACATAATCATAAGGGACATGATTCGGTCCTACAAAATACCGTCTTCAGCCTAATCGAAAGTTCTACAATACAAAATAAAGGTTGAAGTGAAAGAATTACCTAGTTTATGCTTGACTTACTTGGAGTTGAAAAAATTTTTGATGCAGCTATTTGTGGAATTGATGTCAATGCCCATAGTCGAGAAATCAATTTCCTGATGAAAAACGAGTTTTCAATAAATGAAGGGCCCCGTGCCCTGAGAGCGCATACCATTATTTTCATTGAAAGGGTATTGCCAAAAGGTTTGTTTTCCCTGTGCCCTTATGAAAGCACTACTTAAGGAAAATATCAATAAAATTGATGGGGCAAACAGCCAGCACGTGTTTGAATCTAAACTAATTTGGTTAGAAAATAATGTCAAATAATGACGTAGGCAAGACGTTGACATATGTCAAAGTCAATGTCAAGGGATGAAACATGAAATTCTGACCATGAGCATAGGCATATAACAATAGCTAATACAACTACTTGAAGAATGTGGAGATAGGAGGAGAGATGCATGTAGGGGAGAGTTGAGCAAACCTGAAAAACCATTGACTATGAAATACCATGGAATAAGAGTTGAGACCAAGGTAGGTAAACTAACAGCGAATAAAATCCAAAGCATTGAACAATTTAATACAGTCAAAATGTATTTGTTCATTAAGAGACAAGACAGAATTATCATTTAAGAAAGAGTTAATTTCGAAAATGTCCAGTAAATTCAATAACCTACCTTTTGGACAGACATGTAGAATTTTAAGGTCCTGATTTGGATCAAAACTATGTCGTGAATTTAGAATTGCGAAAGAACTTTCGATATCATAATCATCAAACAAAGGGGGTGTATTCTTGGATATTTCGAGGATCTTGTATTGTGAATTGAATCATTCAAATAATTTTTTGCTACACTTACTACATCCGACAGTCAATATAAATAAGTCATAAAATGCAATAAGATTACATCACCCATCCTTTCGTTGCCAACCTTGAAATATGTCGAACAACACTTTACCAAAACTCGTTCGTCTATAGAACGGCAAAGCTTTATTGGAATTCTTTGCCAATGGAAGTATTCCCAAGAACTTATAACCTCCGAAAGTTGAAAAAAATTCCAATACCTACCTCCTCTCCCTTTCTTCCCCAGGTATGAACGATGTTGTAGGAATTCAATCTGATATGAATTCGTCGATGCGCTAGTGGACTGGTAGTGAATAATTGGCATTCAATTAATTCACTGTGTCGATAAGGACCTGAATTCATTTTTGCAGCACTTCTTACGCGTTTTTGATGTATATAATGTGTCTATGCTTTCTTTGAAATTGTTTAGTTTCGTAGTCCATTTCAAAGGTGCCGTCATAACCGCCTAGAAGTCAGAGGAGTAGATGGAACAACACCCCGATGGATATCCTGACTCATCTCTACAGGAACTGCAGAAACAAAGGTTGGGCAAGATACCATCTCCATCCAAACAAGTAGGGGCTGCCCGCAACCCCTCTTAATGTGGAGTCTTACAGTAGATGAACTACTCTGTGGGCTGACTGACCTCAGCATATCAAGGCTATGCCAATGACATTGACATACTCTCAAATGGTACAAAAGAATGGTGTCAGTCGGACTCAGTATCAATCCTACCAAAACCATCCTAGTAGCTTTCACGAGGAAAAGAAAACTAATCTCAAAACCATCAGACTATGTGGGATAGATATAGAATGGAAAGAAGAGGTAAAAACTACTTGGGACTCGTCCTGGACCAAAAACTTCTTTGGACTAAACACGAGAAGGAAGTAATCAACAAGGCCACAAAAGCTCTGTTGATATGCTGGGGGTGCACCCCTAGGACCCATAGGTAGATGTACTCAGCAATAGTGAGACCTATCATCACATATGGAGCGGTGGCTCACGAAATTTCAAAGACTAGCATTGAAACGGAACGTCTCAGGGGTTGAGTGGGGTTGGAAAAATAATTTCGGAATTAGAAGCGGAGATTCGGCTTTTTTTATTCACAGTTTCAGGGGAAATTGTTCAGTATCACCTTTGTCTGAAATAACATAACACCAGTGACGGCTCGTGCCCTCAGAACCTGGGTCGGCCAGGGTATAGATATTGCTCTAAAATGCGAACGTAAGTGGGTCAGCGGCTTGAGTGAAGTTCGATGGCAAATAAGCATGTACAGGGTGATTCACCATAATTGTCCTTTCTCCCTCTAGCTCACTTATTTTTGACCCGATTTAAAAATTTGAAGGATGATCTAAAATGATTTCTCAGAATTTTTTTACCCGTTGCATCAGGAAATACAGGGTGCACGAAACAAATGATCTACAGGGTACTACTCGGTTTTTCCAAATCGAACACCCTGTATTTCATTGTATTTTTAGATTCTTCCTGAAGAGCTGATTTCATCAATGCATCACACTTGGGGTCTAGCAAGAATGATAACAGAGATATAGGGTGTTCAAAATCGAGATTTTTCAAGTTTAGGATTTTTTTGTCTCGAAACTATTCATTATTGGTCGAAACGGCTCCTATGTTTCCATCTTAATTTTTGCTTAACTGTCTATTGAGATTTGATTGGAACATTTACAGGGTGGTTCAAGATTCAGAATTCTGATCACCCTGTATCTGTTCCAATTATTAAATGTCAGTAGATAGTAAATCAAAAGTTGAGATATGGACATGAAAGCCGTTTTGACCGATGATGAATAGTTTCGTCTCAAAAAAATCCTAAAGTTGAAAAATCTCGATTTTGAACACCCTATATCTCTGTAATCATTCCCGATAGACCCCAAGTGTGATACATTGAGCAAATCAGCTTTTCAGGGAGAATCTAAAAATACAATGAAAAACAGGGTGTTCCATATAAAAAAATCAAATGGTACCCTGTAGATCGTTTGTTCTGAGCACCCTGTATTTTCTGATGTAGCGGAAAAAAACTCAATCAAAAATCATTCAAGATGATATTTCAAATTTTGAAATCGGTTTAAAAATAATTGAGCTAGAGGGGGGGACATTTATGGTGAATCACCCTGTACACATAACCAAAAAATTAAATTGTCCAGCAAGAACCACGAGATTAGAGCATTCTCGCCAGGGGAAATGGGGAAAGAAAAAGGAGGTGGATAAGGGTTAGTTGGTATGAAAAAATAATAACAAGAAAGTCGAAAAAATAAAATGAAAGAAAATAAAAATGAAATAACTCGTGAACAAAAAATATTTATATTCTGTTGAAAACGTAATGTAAACTCAAAAAAATCAACATAACCGACAACCACTCACCTACCGCGAGAAACACAACAATGACTAATCTGTCTACGCTACGCCGTTCCTGTAACAAGCCACCCCACTGACCCCACTCCTTCGTAGTCGGCTGGCCGAGCCCGCGTGCAGGGTGCAGCCGTAGGTATAATGTTTCCCGCGATGCGATGGATGCATAAATATTATTTAGGTAGTTTATAACCGCTACATGCGTCTTTGAAAATAAATGATATTCTGGAAGTTATACCTACATTTATTACATTTTCGTCACCAGAGCTTTTTTACGATGTTTCAATGCCTACTCAGCTCTTGGACTGCTGACATTTTTCTTGCCATATTACCTACATAGGCAGAGGCACAGTAGGTTACATTACAGCAATATTCAAATTGAATTATAACTTATTGACGCTCAGAAGCACTGAAGGAAAATTCTGATACCAATATTAGATGGATATGTTGAATTATGAATTACTGAAAAATTGCAAATTCAAAAATCACCAGTCATTTTTACTGCAACTACTGCAAGCGTAAACAAAAACATGGAAATTATTTTTCTTTTCAGTTTGTACATTTCAAATTCCAACATCAACTTACAAATAAGTATAGGAATTAAAATTATAAATACCTACAATGTAAAATGAAAATAGAATGATGTCAATCATGCCAATCCGTATATTAAAAATTAGGTCGGAATGGTTCGATACGGTGCACAGCGAGCGCACTGCAAACAACTGATACTGATAAGTACGATCGATACGTTGGACGGCCAGCAGAGCTTGGCCGCACCCAAGGTATGACGCGTATAAGCGAAAATTTAAACTTGAAGCGGGGAATCTGTAGGCGATGCCTGTGGCGATGCGTCGAGACATGAAATCACTGATCGGCCGGCCGTCTGCATCAGTGTAATGAGCTACGAGCTACGCGAGCGTTTCGACTGAAAGCGGCGTTTTGACGATGGGATTACCAGATGTCGTAGGTCCTGAATTAGTTCGTGATTTTCGGTGTATATGCGGATGGCATACTCAAAGGTTCCATGAATGAAATTCAAATAATAGTGGCATAACAGTAGGATAATGAGCGATGAATTATGAAAACAGTTTCGGAAAATAATTTTATTCATCAAATAGTTCAGTAATTTTCCCCAAATTATTTGGTACGGCCCGGCCGACCCTGCCGTCCCTGACGAGCCGTCACTGCATAACACACTGTAGTACATGGTACAGAATTAAATGATTTTCGGTGTTCATAGCAAAAGGGGTGGTGCCGAAAATATTTCTCTCAACAATTAAATTTGGAAATTTCAAAGTTATCAAATTCATTGAATATGATACAAAATACAACGATCACTAAGATTTCCTCACCTGAAATAACATTTTTTTTATGTTCTAGTTCCCACGAAAAGGGATATCTTGTGATGTTCAGAGAACATCGTGAGAACCAAGGGAACTAAGATAGGAATTGGTGTTCTTCTTAAATTTCTGGAGGTTATATGCCTCGGGAAACACCTCCCTTGGTAATGTGTTCCAAAGCCTCGCTGTTCGTTGGATGAACGAGTCTTTGGAAAGAGATATTCTGCAGGTCTCCAAAGTGACACGAAGGGGTGCAAAGCCTCAACTCGACGGGTTAATCTCGCGGGGACTGCCAAGGAAGGAACAATTGTTGATATTTCAGAAGAGCATCGTCCATGAAAATAACTATAAAATAGAGCCAGATCGCCAACTTTTCTACGGTGTTCCAGAGAAGTGAGTGAGTTTGTGAGCGAGGCATCACCCACGAGACGAATTGCCCTTCATTGGACAGAATCCAACAGTTTCAGGGTATGTTTGGGTGCTGCACTCCAAATATGGGAACAGTATTCCAGGACAGGTCGGATCTGTGCCTTATAGATCATAAGCAGCTGACTGGAAGTGAACTAGCTCCTGTCCCGAAACAGAAAACCAAGTTTTTGGAATGCACTTTTAGCAATTGATCTCACGTGATTTTCCCAAGAAAGGTTATTGATGATAGTGATACCAAGCATCGAAATGGATGTCTTCAAAGGTATGGTTACTCCTGACAAGCTCATGTTGTTCACTGTGAGATTGGCTTGTCTAGAGAAAAGGCATGCTTGTGTTTTGTTTGCATTGAAATCTACCAAGTTATTGGATCCCCATTCGAGAATTGTTGCCAAGTCCATATTTATGTTGTCAACATTTCTCCCTCGTTCGTTTCTGATTTGCCTGGCTGGTATTGGAGCCTTGGAAGAGGAGGCGGTATGGAGGGTACTATCATCCGCGAAGCTGTGTACTGGACATGAATTTGCTCCCAACTAATCGTTGAGATGGAGTAGAAATAGTGTTGGTGCTAGAATTGATCCTTGCGGAACACCAGCATTTATGAAAAGAGAGTCAGGTGAAACTCCGTCGACCACTACATGGAGAGACCTATTTGAGAGAAAACTAGCTAGCAGAGAACATAGCTGGGGAGGCAAGCCATAAGATGGAAGCTTGGCGAGGAGTTCGTGGTGCCAGACTCGATCGAATCCTTGGAGATATCAAGTGCCACCGCTGAGGTTTCACCATATTTTTCAATAGATTGCTGCCATATATGTGAGACGTAAGCGAGATAAAAATCACAATCAATTGTGTGAACAAGAATTAGCGATTTCAAATACCAACAGGGTTGTTACTTAATCAAATACCGAAAATGATCTGCCTGAATTCGAAGAGAATGAGTATACCGCCGTGGTTTCTCTAAAACATGAAAACTTTACCATAAATACCGAGAGATCGTGCATACATACTAGTGTGATATTTAAACACCGAACTATAAGCAACTTATGTTACACGTAAAGTGTGTCTTTGGTGACGAAACTATTTTGCTTCAGCATGTGTATGCATTACCCGTGCAATGGGAACGTGCTTCAGTGCCGCACTCCTCTATATTTAGTTGTGGATAATGCGGCAAATAGAACGGTATACCGAATGATTAGAGAAGGAGTGATCAAAGGCAGGCAAACATGCCCACTCAGCCAGATAATCCAGGAATTACCTCAGGTTGAGATAAAGAAAAAGAACAGCTTTGTGAAACGATTCACCACGAGGCTGAGCTGCAAAAAAGAATGGAACAGTAGATCCATGAGTATTCAGCTTTAAAAAAGGAGGCATAAAGTGGTACACACATGGCTCCAAATCCGGAGATGAAAATGGAATAGGAGTGTATTGGCCTCGTACCAAGTACTTCGATAGCCTTGGCAAATTCTCAAGCATACTTCAGGCTCAAGTTCACGCTATAAGGAGATGTGTACAGTTCAATCTAGATAAAAGCTATGAAAGACGAGATATCATAATCATGTCCGATAGTCAAGCAGCCTTCAAAGCGCTGAGCTTCATGGTTATCAGCTCTAAGATGTTTTGGGAATGCCGAGAAAAACTGAACGAGCTAGCCACCTTCAATGGGTTGGGGGCATTCCGGAGTAGAAGGGAATGAAGTGGCGGATGAACTCGCTAGGAAAGGAGCTCAAACACCCTTCGTGGGGACAAAGCCCTCCTGCGGGATGAGCAGCAGTACTGTGTCAGAAGAAATCAGAAAAGAAGAAGTTACACAGAGATCAGACATCTGGGAAAATCTTCAAGGTCTCAGACAGGCTAAGATACTACTGGGTACATATAACCACAAAAGATCGAACGCATATGTCAGCCTAAGTAAAAATTAACTTCGCATAATAACGGGAGTCCTAACAGGGCACTGCTGGTTGAAAATACATCTTAGGAAGTTCGGCGTAGAAGAAGAAGATGAATGCAGGTTCTGTGGGGAAGAGGAGGAAACCTCTATCCACATACGCAGGAAATGTGTCACCCTACAGAACCCAAGGGCAAGAACCCTAGGAGCACACAATAGAGGAGGAGGAGCTACCCTACCTGGAACCACCCCATATCCTAAATTTTCGGAGGGATATAGGACTAGAGAAATTGCTATAGTAACGGAGAACAACCTCATCGTGTATAGCCAGGGAAGGGGACACGATAGATCTTTCAGGTCGCAGTGTATTCACCCCTTATGCATACAATACAATACATGGCCGTCATTTGGTCATGTTCTCGAATATGTGGGATTTACGGTGACGTCAGTTCTTATGCTGTTTCATTTATTGGCCAGATAATATTCCATTTCCACTCATAAAGCAAGGTTGTCAGATCACCAATTATTGTCAAGTTATTGAAGAGTTGTTCAAACCCCTATCATTGAATAAAACTACATCCAAATGAAATATTTCATTTGACCTAATAGAAGGAAGCCATGATATAATAGTTATCAATTTGTGACTTTTTCGGACAAACAGATTGTCAAAATATTTCTTATATTCCATAAAAAAAATAATGTAAATATTGGCTATAGAGACTTGGCAATGCTGTGCTGAATGCTGAAAACTGACAAGACAACGCCCACAGCCATGATTTGTCACGTTCACCTGACCGAATGTCCTCTAGTGTGGTTTTAGTGTATATTAAATTTTTTTCACCACTAGCAATATATTTCAATCATTATAGTTCTGTAAAACCGAATTGTGGACCTGAAAGAACTTCTTTTCAATTGCAATTAAAATCTAGTCACCATGACAGCATATGACAAGTCCTTATTGATTAATACCTACTGAATTTGAGTGCAATTCCTGCGAATATTGCATCAGAACAGTGATTTTTTAATAGTATATTATGTAACAAGTTTATAAACGAGTTTTTGAGCACGAGCGCAACAGAGCGGATCGAGTGTTTAATAAACGAGTGTCTAGAAGATTTTATAAACGCGTTGATTATCATCCAGGAAAAATAAATCCAACGAATTGTTGACTGATGAAAGTATGAGATTACTGTGTAGGCCATTCACGGGCGCGCGTACGGAGTGGACAGTACGGAGTGATCGGGCATTCATTCAGTTCTCTTAATTCGTTGTTACAAGCCATAGGGTTGCATTTGAAAAAACATGTTGTGATCTATTCCAGCTACCCCTGAAGTGCTTCTCTCAAAAACCCGCGGTTTTCTGCTATACTAGAGTGGGAAAAGGTTCTGAGCCCATTGAATTGCTATATTTCTCATATTGCTCGCAAAATGTAGGTAAATAAATTAAAACGTTGACGTGTCTCGCGAATTTTTATAAACATCATTTTCCTCCCCACTATCCTTAATTCCATTCAAAGTATCCGCCCTGTATTTATAAATAGATGTTTGTTGGTGTAGTAATTTCTTATTTCCCTGTCAGTGAAAAATATCATGAAGACAGTAGCAAACATGTATTTGAAATTCCGCATTGCCTTCCATTTCACGTCGAAAGCACTTATTTTCTTGATTGATTATTATTGTCTATTTTTAATCACTGGACAAGGTATTGCAGCAATGACATGTTGATGCGTACATACCAACTGGAACTGGCTATTGACTCCGACCACCATCTTTCAGTCCGAAATGTTTTGGAAAATGCAATTTGTGTTGGCTTTGTTATTCTCCATACACCACTTTAGGGGATACACTTTTGATTGGAACACAACGATTAATCGTACAGGACTATCTCCATCCGTTTCTCCGAAATTTCCTCTATTCCTGGAATCACATATCAGGAAGTTGCTTTGTTGTGTTTATTACTTGGTTAATTACTTACTCCCTGTCTTTACGCTAGCTGTTTCCACACGACTCTTTACGACTGTGGAGAATGCGTCCAGACCAGTTTCGTAAAAATCATTGATTAAATGACTCATATTTAATTCTATTTCAGCGAGTACCAGAGACTTGGATGAACTAAAATTCAGCCCTTCATCAATAGAACCTGCAAGGTGCAAAGCTGATGTTATCCAACTCCGATCCGAAAATGCCTCATTGCGAAATGAAGTGCTTGCCCTCACCAGTGACGTCTATGGCGCTAAACTGACCGCTAAATATCTGGATAAAGAACTTGCTGGTAGAATACAGCAGTTGCAGCTATTAGGTTAGTCTTATTGTATTTGGTATTTATTCAGCATCAACTTTCAGGAATTTCATTTTGAATAAGTGATGTTGGTTTGTCCACATTATTGTTGAGTTTGTAATGGAATATAATATTTATGGAGACATTCTTGAATCGACTATAATGTCCAAAACCGCTTCGTTACTGAGATACAGAGTGATTTGTGAATTTGGACAAAAAATTCAATCCGCCATATCAAAAACAGGGATTAACCGATTAAATTCAAATTTGGTACACCGATTACACTGAGAGGCATTAACAAGTAGCCCTGTGATCGAAATCAATATCAGGACCGGAATAATATTTTTCCCCTATGTTGAGTTATTGTGTGAATAACTCACCTTGTATAATAAAAATCGAAATTTCGAACTCAGATTCGAAATCTTCGGTAAACATCGTATAGGAATTTGTTAAAGAATTTTCTGGCACTACCTCAGTTATTCCGTAATTAATTAATATTTTAATTTTTTTCATTCAAAAATCAATTATTGTCGGATAAAGAACCATCAAAATTGGTAATATAATAAATATTCACGAAACCATGATATGAATGTCGTTATTTTCTTCACATAAATCGTAGTAAAATGATTTTTTTTTAACCAATATGCTTTATTTTCAATTCATAATAACAAATTTCAACAATACAAAACTTTTTTTTTCTTTTTTCTTACCCTAACTAAATTCAATAAATACATACATATACATACTTACATATACATACATACATACATACATACATACAATATCTACAAATAAATATATTAAATATATACATATATACATGTAGGAAGTATGTGATCAAAACGAATGAAAATATTCAGGACAAGTTCAATTAAAACTACTCAAAAAATGTATAAATCTAAATAAATATTTTTAAGGCATTGTTCCAAATCAGCAGTGATCGCTGGTACCAGAACAAAATTATATTTGAAATTCAATGGCTGACAACATATTGCATCATTTCAGTTTTGAATGTAGAGTAACTATTTTTTTTCTGTGGCGGGAAAAAAGTTTGGCATTTCATCTCTGTTGGCAGGTTATAAAATGTCACTTTTCATAAATTACTTTTTTCCCGTGGGAAAAAAGTGAGTACTTCTTTCCCGGATATATATCACATATATATACTCTGTTAATGGCTTTTGTTGTGCTATAGTTCCGAAAAATAAGTCAATAATACCGTCTCCGAGAAAGAACTGCAAGTCCTTTTATCTTCCATTCGACTTCGCGGTTTCGTATATTACTAAACAACTACTGAATTCGCAATTTTTCAAAATCAAATCACAGAATTGAACTGACAGAAGTGACATCAGATATTTGATTACTTCAAAAGAATGATAAAGATGTCTATAAAACGCAGGTGTCCCTACTGTTAAAAACTTGAAATTTCACGTCGATAATTTTCAGATTTCGAAATAATGTAATATCTTCCCAATATTGATTCGTCCTTCCTTCTGTCACAGAAAAAAATAGTGTATTATACACGGGAAAAATACTAGATTTTAGCTCACGGTTTTTTGTCTCCCTCCGCTACGCGTCGGGAGACAACACAACCTGGAGCTAAAATCTACTACTTTTTTCCCTTGTATAATAAATAACTATTATTTTTTATCCAGTTTGGCAAATTATTGAATGTTTCGAGACATTTAGAGAAGGGATTATTCAAACCAATGTTTGTTCTCACCTGGGGTAGATAAATTTGGTTTCGACTTCTAGTTTCATATGAATGTATCTCATTAACTATGTTCATATTTGTGTTGCATTCTTGTTATTTTATAAATAAATTTACATTGTTCTATCTGTAGAATTTTTTCCAGCGGCAAAATTTCAGATTGATGGTAGATAATTTCTGTATTTGTTCTGCAGTCATAGCCAAATGAAATTTTTACTACCTTATTTTGTAGAGTTTTGATTTTTTTAAATAATGTTTGAGAACATATCCCCCAGTTTGTTATCAGATAACGGAATATAGAAAGAAAATAGGCGTTATAGATCATGATTTTATTTTGTGAATTCAAATAACTTTGGCACCTGTAAAGTGCTCCAATCATTTGAACAATTTTTTTTGTCATGTGTTCTGCATTTTTATACCAATTTAATTTGTCGTCAATTATTAATCCCAAGTATTTAGTATGATCAACCTTTTGAATTGCCTGCTCTCCTATTTTGATATCTGGGTCATGACTTTCTTTATTTTTATTTTTGAATAACATATACACTGTTTTTAAGATTTGCTTTTTTGAGATTTAGGGTGTGTAATGAGTATAATAGTGGCCCAGAGACTGAGCCTTGTGGGACTCCACAGTTAATATTCAAGATTTCACTATTTACTTTATCTAGAGATACATATTGTTTACGTTCATTCAAGTATGATTCTAATACGCTTGCACTTTTTCCTCTTATACCTAAGAAGTTCAAAATAGTCTCATAACCCGAAAAAACTGAGGGATAAATTCGTATCAGGACTGAAATGAGTTTTTTTGTTTATGTTAGCTGACCTAGTCCATCAATAATTATCAATAATCTGATCGTAGATTCGGAATCTAAAAAAATCGTATGAGAACCTGTTAAAAAAGGATAAGAGTGAATTTTTCGTAAATTATATTCGCTCACTAATGAATTTGAATTTATGAAAATTCTACACAACGAACAATAACTGTTTGTAATGAACATAACAAAACCAATGAATTCGTAAAAAACTGCCACTACCCAGTATTAGAAAACATTTTCGAAGTGGACCAACCACGGCCAATCCATCTATTGGGGGTAATTGGCATCGAGATGGTTTCTAACCGGAACTGAAAAGTGAGGTCTAGCACCATCATGCTGAAACCACATACCCCAGGTATTTACACCTTGCAATAGATCCGGTCAAGTATTGGCCAGGAAATTTAGGTAAGCATCACCAGTTAAAGCCCATACACGAATAGAATATCTGCGTGTTCCTCATTAGTGAAATGAGAAGGCATCATAAACACACTCTCAGAACTATAGTTTGATCCTAAAAACACTGGAATAATGAATCAACATCAATAAAACAAACGCCAATGACAGCTAAATAGTGGTTTTCCATAATGAAATTCTGAATTTGACACAAGCCTAGTATTTTTTATACACAAACATTATAAGCTACTGATACGGATTTATTATTTGAAAGTTCAGTCCGATCATTTTTCAACAAGTTTTTAACTTTTCTCAGTGAATTTCGAACCTACTATCAGATTATTGTTATACTAGATCATCTATTCTTACAGGAATATAATCATAAAAAACGTTATTCCAGTCCTGATACGAATTTATTCTTCAGGTTTTTCGGGTTATGAGAGTATTTTAATTTACTACGATTTACAAACTGATTGAAGAAAATAACGATATTTATGTCATGGTTTCGTTAATATTTATTATATTACCAATTTTGATGGTACTTTATCCGACAAAAATTGATTTTTGAATGAAAAAAATTAAAATAATAATTAATTACGGAATAACTAAGAAAGTGCCAGGAGATTTTTCAACAAATTCCTAGACAATTTTTACCGTAGATTTTGAATCGGAATTAGAATTTTTGGTTATTATTATACAGGTTGAGTTATTCTCACAATAACACAACATAGGAAAAAATATCATTCCGGTTCTGATATTGGTTTAGATCAAAGGGCTACTTGTTGATGCTTCTCAGTGTAATTCGTGTACCGAATTTGAATCTAATCGGTTAATCTCTGTATTTGATACGGCGGATAGAATTTTTTGTCAAAATCCAAAAATCACTCTGTATGTCAATAACGAAGCGGTTTTGGACATTGGTTTATGGCATTTTGCAACCATATTGACAGTCCCTATAACCCCATAAATCTTGTCAGTTTTATCTCCGGACACCCTGTATACCACCAGAAAAACTGAGGAGAGTTGAAAATAAATAAAGTCCTATTCTCGAACCAGATGGAAGAAAACTGATGTCGGTGCCTGAGGGTCGATTCTCATAAAAAAATCAATGGTGAAATCCGCATATCGATATCTGTCTTCGTTTCGGAGTTACAAGGTGTTTTCCGAAAATGGGCATTTTCTAAAAGTGACTACAGATATTTTTTTGGGCAAAAATTGTCTGTTCTCATGAAAATTACTGCAAAGCATTGAGTTTGTGATAATAATTGTTCTAGAGGCACTGAAATCGGCCTTCCTATATCAAGTTCAAGAATATAACTTGTTCTTCTTGAAGGAAAAGTTCTATTTTGCAACTAGGTATACGGTGACAGATTTCAGTGCCTGAGAATCAATTTTTCATGACAAATAATACTTTGGAAATGTTTTCAGGCAAACGAAGAATTTTTGCCAAAAAAAAAGAGTTAGCCACTTTTCAAAAATTCATATTTTCGAAAAACACCTTCAAATTCAAATTTCTAGTGATTTTATTCGTTATTTATCTCACTCTGTAGACAGATGATTTCATCCTGACTACCATCATGTCTTGTATTATTCAAATTCTTCGAAGAATTATTATACACGGTGACTTGAAAAATGCAATTATCCAAAGATTGTAACGTTGAGATATTGTCATGAAAATTTATATCGGAGTATTTGTGACAAGTCCGAATTGATTGCCATCAACAATTTTTTTTTGTAAATAAAATGCCTTATTGGTTTTCATCAATTTTGCTGAAGTTTTTGTGATCGCAGTAGGCCAAGAAATTGTGTTTGATATTTCTTTTTAGCTCGACAAAGTAGATAATTTTGAGTAGTATATTATGAGAGGAAAAAATTTCAAATCGCCCCCTAGGAATACGAAAGTTCATGGGTGGGGTGAACCAAATTGTAACACACTGTATGTGAAAAATCAGATGATTTGCCCCAAAATGTCACTGCATTTAACACATTTTTCTATCAGAGAACCTAAAAGAAAAATCAAATAGCTTGTCAGTGATACTTTCTTTGGAAAAATGTTTGAAGAAAAGAAATATAGTTAGCTATATTATCATAATATTATATAT